GGGGGTCTCGCTGACCACGGTGTATGGGCTCAATGTTATTCGGGTTCGGGTTCTGGGCCTGGTCTGTAACCGTTTCCTTTGCTAGATTGGATTAGGTTTAGACCCACATGGAGAAGTACTATAAATACTTCTCATACTCCTCTGTAATCTGTAATCTCCTCGATATAGTGAAACTGGCTCTCTCTCGCCCGTGGACTAGCTAACACACATCGTGTTAGCGAACCACGTAAATCGTGTGTCTGTGTTTTTCGATTCTCGCTTTCGTATTCTTGCTTTGTCGATTCCGACGATTTCCCGATCCGTAGCAGCGCGTTTATAACAATGCCATCACATGCAAAATTGGAATGGAAAGTTAGCCAATTCAAATGAAATGAAAAGTTGGCTAATTAAAATGAAAAGTATATCTGTTCCAATAATTTAACCAACTTCGACATCACATTTTTCCAACATCAAAGGCTACAAAAGATTCATCTCGAGTGTTCTTCTGTTGAATCATAGTGGTTGCTTTTGATGTTGCACAACTATCATCCCTCGAGAGTGTTCTTTTGTTAGAGCATAGTGCACATGGTTGCTTTCGATGTTGCTATGATCCATTCTATTTTAAATTTCATCTTGTGTCACCCGTTATTCAAAATCAACTGCTATTTGCCGCCCGTAAGATTACTATTTACTGTCCATAGTTATAACAATATTTACCATCTTACCCTTTTTCCTTTTCAAAACCTGAACCTATTTCAACCTCTCTAACTCCATCTCATCCTACCCGTTGTTGTCCCCTTCATGTCCAGCCGACGACCATCGACCAACGGTGCTTCCTCCCCAGTTTCGCCGTTGGTCGAAACCCTCATCTCCCTCACCTCACAGCCTCAACGCAGACGATTCTGAGCTGCTGACGAGTGCGGCCTTTCCCCATCGTCCAACGGGGATGCGCAGTACATCGGCATGAGAAGAAGCTCGGAGCTGATAGGGGAATTTAATGCTTTCATCGACATCAATGGTCTTTAGGAGCTGCCTCTTTGCGGTAGCAAATTCACGTGGAGCCTCCCCAGTTTCGCCGTTGGTCGAAACCCTCATCTCCCTCACCTCACAGCCTCAACGCTGACGATTCTGAGCTGCTGACAAGTGCGGCCTTTCCCCATCGTCCAACGGGGATGCGCAGTACATCGGCATGAGAAGAAGCTCGGAGCTGATGGGGGAATTTAATGCTTTCATCGACATCAATGGTCTTTAGGAGCTGCCTCTTTGCGGTAGCAAATTCACGTGGAGCCATGGGACCAATAGGGAGACTATGTCTCGTATTGACAGGGTGTTTATCTCTCAGGATTTCGACTATTTTTTCCCGGACTCTACCCTGTCTGCCATTGAGAGGGTGGAATCAGATCATAATTTGCTTGTTTTAAGATGGGGTGAAGACAAGAGAGTTAAGAGGCCTTGGAGATTTCAGAATATGTGGCTCGAAGATCCTCGTTTCTACATCGAATTGGGTAAGTGGATGTCGGAGAGTCTCCAAGGTACGGGTGGTATGTTTCTGCTTGCTAGAAGACTGTGGCTGATCAAGGCCAGGGCAAAAATATGGAATAAGGAGGTTTTAAGAAATATTGACAGCAAGGTGGAAGATTTGTCTACTAGGATTATGGTCTTGGATAGAATGGAAGAAGAGAGACTTCTTTCCGAGGAGGAGCAGAACAATAGAATTGGTTTGGCACTAGAACTTAGTAGAACTTGGTTGCTCCAAGAGGTTTGTTGGAGACAGAAGTCGAGAGGTTTGGATAAAGTTGGGTGTAAAGAACACGGGGTACTTCCATAAAGCAATGAACTACAGGAGGGAGGTTAAGTTCATAGAGAGAATCAGGATCAACGAGTGAATGGTCGATAAGAAGGAGGAAATTGGGGAGGGGACGATGACCGTCAGCAGTTAGATATGCCGTTTTCGGAGAATGAGATCTGCTCGGGTTGCTGGACTGTGACGGAAGTAAAGCACCAGGTCCGGACGACTTTACGTTGGAGTTCTTCAAGAAAGGTTGCCAGTGGTTGAAATTGGACATTCTGAAGGCTTTTCAGGAGTTCCATGAGACTGGAATGGTGCCAAAATGTGTTTCGCATTCCTTTGTGTGTCTTACTCCGAAGAAGGACACGATCGAAGATATTAAAGATCTCGACCGATTAATATGATCGGGAGCATTAACAAATTGATTAGTAAGGTCCTATCAAGAAGACTTAGCCTGGTTCTTCCGAAGTTAATCTCTCAACAACAACAAGCTTCAGTTAAGGGGAGGCAGATTTCGGAAGCAGGGCTGATCGCCAACGAACTAGTTGACAGTAGGCGCAACAGCAGAAGGCTTGGTCTCATGTTTAACCTGGATATTTTGTGAGGCTAATCATGAAAAGGTTCTGAACATCCTTGCAACTATTGTGTGCTTTCAATGGGCGACGGGCCTAAGGATTAATTTGGAAAAATCTGTTATGTATACCGTGGGTGATGTAGAGGAACCTATCTACTTTGCTGCCATTTTCGGCTGTAAGTGGAGTAGAGATCCACCCAAGTATCTTGTGTTCCCTCTTGGGGCTAGACCTAACGATCCCAGGATTTGGGACCCTATTGTCGATAAAGTGAGAAAGAAGCTCAATGGTTGGGGGAACATGCACCCCTCTACAGGGTCGAGGTTGGTGTTGTGCAAAGTAGTGATCTCTAGTATGCCTTCCTACCTTTTTTTCCTTGTTTAAAGCCCCTGCCTCGATTATTGAGGATCTGGAACGGATTCAAAGGAGACTCTTGTGGAATGGGACGGATGACGTTAAGAAGATGGCTCTGGTTGAGTGGAAGATTTGTAAAACAAATATGAACAGAGGGGGTCTGGGGATTCTTGATTTAAAATCCTTCAATGATGCAATGTTAGCCAAATGGTTATGGCGTTTCGCGGTGGAGAGAAATAGTTGGTGGCGTAAATTGATGGAATGAAAATATCACAATCCCTCTTCTGTGTGGCAGTCCTCGAGAGATAGAGGGGGGCTTTCTCAGTCCGTGTGGGCAAATATATCTAAAGGATATGATAAGTTCTGTAATTTTGCAAGTCTGGATCCAGGAAATGGCACTAAAATCTCGTTTTGGCACGATCGTGTGGAATCCTGATGCGAATGGCAGGTTTTCTGTGAGCTCTTGTTACAGGAACCTTGTTCAGGATGTTCTTCAAGGATGGATCAATTTTCAAGCAAAACAAATATGGAGGAACGTGGTCCCGAGCAAAGTCTGTTTTTTCTTGTGGTTGGTGTACCATAATAGGATCCTTACAGTGGAAAACTTGAAGAAGAGAGGTTGGTCAATGACGAGCAGATGGTGTTTGTGTTACACTAAGGAAGAATAATCCTATCATCTGTTCGTGGAATGCCAGTTTGTCCAACAAGTTTGGAGACGAATCGTCTGATTCAGACTTGGCTTGCAAACTCAGGGGGAGTATCTAACCGCGATTATCAAACACTGCTCACATTCGAAACCGGACAACGTGGATAGATGGTTTAAGGAATGCATTGTACACGTTGTTTGGTGGTTCGTGTGGTTGGAAAGAAATCAGAGATTTGAAGAGAAATCGAGGTCTACTAATGCGGTTGCTGGAAGGGCGGCTAGGAATACGATGTAATGGCTTGTGACTCACGTAAAAGTTGAGAAGGATCAAGGGGAGAGTCGGATTCACGAGATCTTAGCTGGATGTTGATGGCCTCTTGTTGCTGGTTGTGGAAGATTGGTTGCTGGGGGTTTCATTCGTCCTCCTGCCGTCGTCGAACAGCGTCCGCGGACGGCTTCCGTCCGTCGAGTTCGGACCGCATCCGCCCACCGAGATCCGACGGCGTCCGCTCGTCGAGATCGGACGGGGTCTGCTCACTGGGACGGGATCTGGCAGTTAGAGGTGTTCAAACGGATTGGTTACCGTGGTAACCATATTGACCGGTAGTATTCGTTTAATTTCGTTTGGTTAATTTGGATAATTGGTTTGGTTTGGTTAAACAACTTAGCGTATTTAGGTGGTTTGGTTTGGTTTCAACACTGCTAACCAATGAAACCAATTAACCAATTAAGATACACCTAATAAACAAAATTATTTATACTTCCATGCAACCAACCAAACCTAACATTCGTGATTTCCTATTTTATTTCCATGTGCACAACAAACCAAAGCATTATGAGTCAAAAATTAAATAGGTCTGCTAATTTACTAAACCAAAACATTTTGGAGAGCTAATAGACTTTAGGATTGCTTATAATACCATGACAGTCACCTCAAACTATGTATAATTTAAATATTTTGTAGGACAGCTTTAACTTCCTAATGAGTGGTATTGGTATGTAGTTAATATTTATGTTAAGGATTTGTGGTAAGCTAACTTATTAGGTGCAGAGATGATGAATGATGTATTAACTCGAATGATGATGATAATCATGGATGGTTAGTCTTATTATTATTGCTTACATATAATGATAGTTTATGATAGTAATAACATATGGTTATGTTTTATTCATTAACAGGATAATTGTTTTCATGTAATGTTATGTTATTTGGTTAATCCGATTAACCAAACCAATTAAACTTTAGTTTGGTTAATTTGGACGGTTTGGCTAAGACATTTTATTCCATGGTTAATGAAATTTAGCCTTAATTGGTTTGGTTATTACCACGGTAACCATTTGAACACCCCTACTGCAGTGGCGGTGGTGGTGTGGCGGCGGCAGCGGTAGTGGTCTGCTGGCAGTGAATGAGGATTTGTGTTATAATCTTGGTTAATTGTAGTTCAATCATTTTCCTACCACTAAAATTGCCTATCAAATTGGGTTGGATATTCGATATTTCGAGTCCGAGCCGTCGGTACAATAGAGTTTCTGAAACATTGGTTAGGGTACTTGTCCGGTTTGAGCGAGAATTTTGCGTTATGACTTATGAGTTGACTGGACCGGTTTGGTTGTAAAGTCCACTAGACGGCCCGCCTAATCGAAGAGGGACGATAAAAATAGCGGGCTAAATAAAAAGCCCATATTGGCCATCCTCGATTCCTTCCTTCTCACTGCTCGCCGTCTGTCTACTCCGGCTTCCAAGAATGGGTTCGATCGAAACGCCTCCACTGACGGAGAACGGAACATCGGCGCCGACCTCTGCTGGCGGCAACTCTAACGTCGAACAAGAGAGTCATTCTGCCATCGACGAAATGCCTTCCTTGCCCGGAAACACGGTGTCTATGGAAACAGACGGTTTGAAGGAAAGGAGAGGTAGTTCGCTCCCGCTGGAGGTTGGAACTCGGGTCATGTGCCGCTGGAGAGATGGCAAGTATCATCCCGTGAAGGTTATTGAAAGGAGGAAGGTTTCGTACTCCGGAGTTAGCGATTACGAGTATTATGTTCATTACACCGAGTGTAAGCATCCAATTCGAGTCGAATTTAGTTTTCCCCCCAATTTTCTCTGAAATTAGGGTTAGGGTTGGCTTTCACTAAATTTGTGCCATTTTATGTTTCGTTGGCAGTTAACAGGAGGCTTGATGAATGGGTGAAACTTGATCAGCTTGATCTGGACTCCGTTGAGGCTGTAGTTGACGAGAAGGTGGAGGATAAGGTAACAAGCTTAAAAATGACACGCCATCAGAAAAGGAAGATCGATGAGACCCATGTTGAGGTATGTTTATCTACCTAGTTAACTGAAATAAAGTAGCTTCCTGGATTCCTCATTGGAATTGTTGGTTGAATTCATAAATACTGCTCTGATTTGAGAAGCCTGAGAAAGGTTAACTTGGTTAGATTCATTTTAGAGTTCAAAGTGTGGCTCTGTTGATTTTCTGTTTCAAACTTAGAGTGTGTATGGATAATCTCGGCTTCTTGTTTGTTGTAGAGTACTTGAATATAATAAGTGAGATCGCTTTAGACCAAAAGGTTTCTTTAGGTACGAGAGTTTACAGCTTACTGTAGGACTCAAAAGTTACAGGATTGAATTGATTGTGCTCAACTGCTCATCTACTTGAAGGGCTTCATATGAATCATATACCTTGTTAAAAAGAAAGTAACCAAAATTCTAAATCTGAATCAACAGGGACACGAGGAACTTGATGCTGCCAGCTTGAGGGAGCATGAAGAATTCACAAAAGTGAAAAATATAGCAACTATGGAACTTGGGAAGTATGAGATTGAAACATGGTACTTCTCACCATTTCCACCAGAATACAATGATTGTTTGAAGCTCTACTTTTGTGAGTTCTGCCTGAATTTCATGAAGCGTAAGGAGCAGCTTCAAAGGCACATGGTGAGTTGGGTCACAAACTCCCCTTTACATTTGTGTGTGTGGCTATATTCAACATTTCAGTTTTTTATGTTATTGTTTCTTTCATTGCTATGGGTGTATTATATGTTCAGCTGGCTTGGCGTTAATATCTTACCTTTGTTTTTTCAGAGGAAGTGTGATCTCAAACATCCCCCTGGTGATGAGATTTACAGAAGTGGTACATTGTCAATGTTTGAAGTAAGCCTGCCTCTTGTTTACTGATTCCCCTGTGAATGTAGTAAAATTATTATGTAGGCCACATATTACACCAAATTGTTGTGCAACAACTGTTATGGTTGTTACTTGAATGGAAGTATCATTTTATCAATATGATGCTTCTTAGAAAGAATTTTGTTTTTCACCATGTTCTTCAAGAGACTTCTACATTTGAACTCCATACAATTTCAACCCTTTGCCTACTTGAGTTATGGGTTTTGAAAACTGAGTTGTGTCGCCAACTGCGTTACAAATGCAGGTCGACGGTAAAAGGAACAAAGTCTATGGTCAAAACCTCTGCTATTTGGCGAAGTTATTTCTTGATCACAAGACCCTCTACTATGATGTTGACCTCTTCTTGTTTTACGTGCTGTGTGAATGTGATGATCGTGGATGTCACATGGTTGGATATTTTTCCAAGGTAAAACTAATACTCAGTTGCTGTTTCCTGTCTTGCAAATTTTTGTGTACTCTCTCGCCTTTTCTCATTCTTAAAGTATTGCATTAGCTCTTTGCTTCAGTATCTGGAAGAATGTCTGATCATATTCTCATTCTTGTGTTTGAAGGGTATGCTATAATTATATTGATAAGCTGCCAATCTACAATTTACTTCTAATATATTTTAATATAACGCAGGAAAAACATTCCGAGGAATCCTACAATTTAGCTTGTATCCTCACTCTTCCCCCTTACCAAAGGAAAGGCTACGGGAAATTTCTAATTGCTTTCTGTAAGGAGTTGCCTCGTAACTTTACTTTGTCTATTCTCAAATCGACGTTATGTGTTATTGCTTTTATCCTAATTGTATCTGTACAATATGGAGCAGCATATGAACTTTCGAAGAAGGAAGGCAAGGTTGGAACACCTGAGAGACCTCTTTCTGACCTAGGCCTCGTTAGCTATAGAGGATACTGGACCCGTGTTTTGCTCGATATCTTGAAGAAGCACAAAGGCAACATTTCTATCAAGGTAGTACGGGGTCGCCTACTTTATTTGCAACATAGTTGGATGTTTGGTGTTGGGCACTTGGAACTTGGAATTTCATGCTCTGCTCTCCGTGGAATAATCTGCAGGAACTAAGTGACATGACGGCAATTAAAGTCGAAGATATTCTGACGACGCTGCAGAGCCTGGAATTGATCCAATACAGGAAGGGACAACATGTGATATGTGCAGATCCCAAGGTTTTGGATCGGCACCTGAAAGCGGCTGGCCGTGGAGGTCTTGATGTTGATGCCAGCAAGCTCATCTGGACGCCATATAAAGAACAGAGTTAGGAGGTGACGAGGAAGAAGGCATCAATCTGTAGCCTGTCGTTGTACCATATTGTATGTAGATATATATATATATTCTACTAGGAAAGCACAAAATCTTTAGAGAGCAGCTGCTTGTGATATGTATTTCACCAGAATAGGCGAATTGGTATAAGCTAAAACGCCTTGCTGTACGCTAGTGATGTTACGATTCTTATGGAAGCCATATGGGTTCAGTGACCGATTATCCGTGATCTCAAAGTTCAGTGACCTTTTTGGCGTTTATCCGTAATCACATCGCCTCCCTACCTCCCTCCTTCCCGTTGTTCCTTCCGGCAGACATATAGCCGCCTCCTTCCCTCCCTCCGTCGCCGTCGCGTCCCATTGCTCGACCTAGGTGATGATGACAGAATGAAGGCATCTGGGTTTATTATCCCACAGGGAATCCCCAGTCACAGTTGGTTGAAGAGATGTTTACCTGCTGCGCCAAATAGATATGGCATAAAACCTGGAAGACATTGGGATGGTGTTGACCGTAGTAGCGGTAGATATCCTTTCTTTTTAATTGTCTCTCTCTTATTGCTGAATATAAGCTTGACAATTGAATTGGGCCTCAGGGAGGAGTGTCATTCTTGTTCATGTGTTAGCTGTTAAGCCCTTGTCAGGAAGTTCCTCGATTTTCAAGAATTAGCTTGTTTTCATAAGCGAGACAGAGTTACTAAAATCCGGAGCTGTCCCTGGACAAATGAACGAGGAAGTACATATTGTTAACTGAAGTGTTTGCTCTCTCTTTTTGTAGGTTATGAGAAGGAGTTGTTCAAAAGAACAAATGAAAAGCAAGCGACGGAGCGTGAAGCTTACTTGTGGTCTGTAGCTGATATGTAAATTGGAGATTGTTCCAGCCGGACAGAGGTAATGAGTATTCATGGGTAGTTTGATGTCCTTTAGAGTGCCTGTGTGGGATGCTAGTTTCTGCTTTCTTCTCTTCCTGAATAAAGGCGAATTTTGAAGGAGATAGTACTAGCTTCCTTATATTTCATTCTGTGTTCATTGGTGTCTGGTGATGAATATTGTTTTTTACTCTTCATCTCATTCTATCTTCATGCAGCGGCTTGGAGGATAGAGAGCGTGCCGAACTGTGGGACAATCTTAGAGCAATGATTCTTGAGTTTGCGCTTCATAATCTGTGGAAGAGTAACTTGAGATCTTGGTGAGTATCGATGACCTTTTTTCTTCTTGTGTCTATTTCATGGCGAAGTGCGACAACTAAGATTGTTAAACTCCTATCGGATCCCCGGTTGGATCCGGTCTGACCTAAGTCGGGCTTCAAAACGGACTGTAAAAACTAAAAAGTCTCTGGTCTGACCCCTAAAGAGGGAGAAGAAGAGAGGGGGAAGAGAGAAAGAGGAACTAAGGAAGGGAGATGGTGGGTGGGTCATGGAGGTTAGATAGATTTATTTTGTGGAAAATAAGTTTTTAATAGACACAAGTAAGATAAACTTCACTTCAGTCATTAAAAATCTTTAATTACTTCCTTATTTATATATATATATATTTAGCAATCATCTACAACGGCTCAAACCAGTCGGATCCCGATCAGAACATTAAACCTCACACCCCTGACTTGGCCGGCTCAATGACTTAAACCGGTTTGACTACCTTGGCGGCAACAGTTTCTCAGCAAGCAATAGCCCTGCTTAAACCAGCGTCCCTTTCGATTATCTCCCCATTGGCGTGAATAGGCCTGTCGGTTCGGTTCGGGTCGGGTAACCGAACCCGAAACCTATGAAAACCGAAAAACCGAACCCGCGGCCACACAAACCGAAACCGAATCGAGAATGCACCTTGTGGGTTTCGGGTGCTGAAACCCGAAATTGATTCTGCCGGGTTTGGTTCGGTTCAGGTAAACCCGAAACCGAACCGTTATGATATTTTTTTTTTACTTTTGTGATTTAATTTTCCATTCTTTTGCTTGTACAAACAATTTTATTCTTATTATTTGTGCATTCTTATTTAACCATTATGTTTAATTTTATGGGACGTGGACAATATAAAACTAATATTTACATATTAGTTTATTATTAAAATATTAGTTAATTATTAAAATATTTAATTTTATGTATTCTATAACTATAGACGTACTATTAACTATTAAAGAGTATTAGTAGTTTAGAGACAAAGTGAAATTCTTAAACATATCTTATACGTAACTTAATCATATCTTATTTAATTGTGGATTTTCGTATAATTAAATGTTTTAGTAATACCGTAGGTCCAAAATTGAAGGTATATCAACTATCATATGCAAAAAAATGTTTGGTATTTGGCACAAAATTATAAATAATTTTGTTCAACATAAAATACCGACAATCATAGATGAGATTATCTTCAACTCGTAATTAAACACATTAGTTTTACAATTCTCAAATGATAACATCCAAGTAAAATAAAAATTCATCCATTATCCAAGATAAACACTACTACCATTATCACTCCTCATTAGGCTCTACATCTACATAAGTCTCATCATTCTCATCAGAATTGTCGTCGACATAGTCTTCTTCCACTTGTGACATAGTAGGACTCGGGACCATAACATGGGTAGCAGGAGAGCTTCCACTAGGTCCTGCATGAGAGCTTCCACTAGGTCCTGCAGGTGCACTTGAACTCCGAGCTTGAAAAGCTGCATATACTGGATAACATAAACAATAACAACTTGTTAGAATATGACTTGATCAAGATAACAAATATAAGAATAAAGAGAGAGATTAAGTCTTTACCATTTTGAAATACCACTTCATCACCCTCATCTTCTCCATCAGCCACCAACTCGGAGTCTGAAGATCTTATCCAATCTTCACAACAAATCAAAGCCTCCACAACTTCAGGGGATAAGGAGGTCCTAAACGAATCTAAAACTCGACCTCCTGTGCTGAATGCCGACTCAGAAGCAACAGTGGAAATCGGAACAGCAAGAATATCCCTAGCCATCTCAGAAATAGTAGGATATTTCATCCCACTTCGCGACCACCATCCCAAGATGTCAAACTTGTATTCATCCTCTTCTGAACCCACCAATGCTCGTGTAACCACTTCATCATCCTCCTCCTCCTCAAGGTACCTATCAAACTCATATTTGGAACTTTTTCTAGTTCCTTTCATAATGGCCTCTCTTTTCATTTTCCTAAAATCACCCCAAATCTTCCCTTTCTTCTTCCCATCCCCACTTCCACTAGGTTCTTGCACATCTTCCTGAATCACAATTGCAGAACTGCCAGAAAGTCCGAGCCTATGCTTGTAATGGTCAAACAGAAGACGCATTTCATCTTTCACCTCATTTGCAGATACTTTCCATCCAAAATATCTGATCCCCACTCTTTCAACTGTTTCTTCATATGGATAGCAACCACATCATTGACACTAGCATTGTCCATTGTTATACAAAACACCTTCCTAATGCCCCACTCCACCAAACAACTAGCCAACTGTTTTCCAATTTCACTTCCAGAATGTTTTGTAACTTGGACAAAGTTAATAATTCTTTTATGCAATTTCCAATCTCTACCAATGAAATGAGCAGTAATGCACATATAATTGAGATTGGACAAAGAAGTCCAAGTATCAGTTGTGAGCGATACCATCCCTAAACACTTAGTCTTGAAATAGTCCTTCAGCAACTCTCTATTTTCAAAGAACACCTTGATACAATCCTCTCTAACGGTTTGACGGCTAGGTAACACAAACATTGGACAAACACGAGCCATAAACCGTTTGAACCCTTCATGTTCAACATACCTAAATGGTAATTCATCTATGATAATCATCTCCGCTAAAGCTCTCCTAGCATCAATCTGATCGAATTTCCAAGTGCCAAGAGTGTGTACCTGGCCTCCAGAAGATGATAGATGGTCTACTATCAGCTCACCCTTTTCTATCTTTTCCAAACAACTCTTTTTATGACTCCGCAGAGTAGAAGTCCCATGTCTAGTGGGAGCAATAAGAACACTATTGCAATAAATGCATCTTGCTTTCTCCACTCCATCCTTCATAAAACGCTTGAAGTGTGGCCAAACGTCAGACTTTTCTTTCCTTTTTCTGGAAATTGTCTCCTCGTCTATTGTTTGAGCAGGAGGTACATTGGTGGTACCGATAGACGGTGCAGGAGCAGGAGCAGGATCGGAAGACGGTGCAGGAGCAGTAATGCTGGTACTCTTAGAGCGTCCTCCACGTCTAGGACGAGAAGCCGATGGTGCCTCACTTCCCCTGTCAAAATGAAAAGTTGAGTTGAGTTAAAGTTTGGAACATATTCTTCTCCAAACTAAATACATACAGCACAAAACAAGGAGCCTTTTCTGTAAACCTAAGAGAGTAATGCGCAAGTAGAGACACACCAAGGTATGAAAGCATTTTATAAGGTGCTCAGGAGCCTTTTCTGTAAACCTAAGAGAGTAATGCGCAAGTAAAGACACACCAAGGTATGAAAGCATTTTATCAAGCAAAAAACTGGAATAGCTACCAACAGCTATGTTCTTCTATCACCCAACTTGGATCAGATTCTCACACTGTTATGTTATTAAGTTGCTCAAATTTTGAATTCTGAATTTTTGTTGGGTAACAACTTTGGGAAGTTAATTGTACCTGCTATGAGGGCCATCAATCACTAAACCATTGATTCTTCATATATTCCAAGAGATATGGTAAACGAATATGAGTTGGTATCCACAAGCTATTTGTAATGGAAAAGATACTCAAGGAATTGATAAACCCTAACTTCCAAGCGCTAGCTGATTGCTCACTAAGTATGCTTCCGTCCTTGACAAGCAGATGGATGACCCATGGATATTCACTACTAGATTTGTAAAACCGCGATCTATTTGGATGTCGAGGTAGGTGGTGCAAATTCGACTCAACTTAGTTGTGATTTGTGAAGAACAAACAATCAACTGATTCACAGATTTCAGGAAAAAGAATTCATTAATTCACTACCCAGATCCTCATGACATATGTACAAGCACTACAGGAAAAAGATCTTTTATTCACGGGAAATCCCGTGTTTGAAGGTGTGTTTCCCGTGTTTAATAGTTGTAGTCACGGGAAAATTACCGTAATATATACCTCCGTGTTTAATTGTTAAGGTCACGGGAAATGTGTACCGTGAATAATTTAACTAATCACGGTATAGTTTCCCATGATAATTTGTTCCTATTAATCACGGGGAATCCCGTAACTAATAACAAATCTTGCACATAAAACAGACAAAAAAACTCATTTAGAGACGAAATGTATACCTTTCAACACCGTATTTACCAGACAAAATCATTTCCCGTGACTAGATACCATACATTAGTCACAATATTTGGTTGG